CCAGCAGTAAACAGATTTGTCAGTGTACCCTAATCCCACTGCATCCCAACCTTCCTGCACTCCAACCACCCTGTAGCTCACCCTTCCTGTACCTCCAGGCTGCCAGTGCACCTCAAACACCCTGCAGCCCAATCCTAATTTAATTTGATCTCCTTTTAATATATGGAATCTTGTAGGTGAGTGAATGGGTTGTATAAGAAGGCAAAGAGCTTGTGTAACCCACACACCTATTGGGTGTGGTTCACTGTTCCATGAAGCGGCACTTAGATCACTTATGGAGAGAAATTTCTTCTACAGCCTTAGCTAAGACCTAGCAGGTTTTTAGCTTATGTTGTAGAGGCTCACACACGAAGCTCCAGAGATCCCAGGTTCGGTTCTGCCTGTTAGCATTACGTTTCAGCAGCTATTTGCATGTTAAAGGGGCATACTGGGGTACTGCTGAGTTAAGACAGCACGGGCAACCTTAACATTACATCTCTTGGTCTTCAGAAATTTCAGTTTTGCTAAGTTCATTGTTCTGCAAAGGGGGATCATACCACCAAGCAATCAAAATTTTTTGTTAACAGGGTTATTTTTTTCCTATTGAATTGTATTACATTGATATACATTACAATGCACAGTTGGACTGGCTCTGCATTATGTGGTGATCATCAAAGACAAATACTTCCTTTACATTTTCTACTTTAGGTGCCCAGTTAGTTGCATATTTGCTAATGGTGGTGCTTTGAAAGTCTCTGCTTACTGTTCAAAACATATGGCATTCGAATTTTTATAATACTTATGTTACTCTAAGTAGATTTCTCACTCATTTTCAGAAGACCAAATCTGCTATTGTTTTATAGCAAAATTTAAATTGCTACTTTAACTCATGAAAACAGCACCTTTCTATTCCATCAAGCTTTTAATGCATTCCAAGATTCTTAGGCTTAAAAAGTGCACTGTAAGAGTTTAATTCTACATTGCATTTGATTGCACAAATAGTTGGATGGTTCCAATTTTTATCAGAGTTAACAAAGTATCATTTGTATGGCAAAACATGCATTAACTTCCCATGAGAAACAAGTACTGAAAACTCTCAATGTTCACTTGTTTTATTTTCTGTTTCTTAGGTTACACTTTCAAAGGTATATGTGGCACCATTTCCATTAACGTCAGCAGGATTCTTGTGGCTAAATAGCCACCTAGAGTTTCAAAAACCTTTGCTGCTCTGTTCAAGAACATTTCCTTGGGCTATTGAAAGAGACAGGTGAAGAAAGCCACAGAGAACATACATGGATGAGCCTCCTGCTTTAAATCTTTTAGAGATTTAAAATTTCTGAACATAATATTGCTTGCGGTGAAATACTATAATTTTGAAATACACGAGGAAGGGTAAATACAATAGCTACTCAAAAGTGTTGCTAAAGTTCACATGACAAATTAGGAGATAACTAACAATCTTAAGAGTTAAGACTTTGTTCTTTATTCAGTAAAGTTGTGTTTCATGTAGCTAAATTCATAACTGATAGTATATTAAACACTCAACCACAATGGAAGCTTAATCATTTAGCAGAAAAAAGGATTATACTTACTTCTTTCTAGGGTTCCTAGCAGTCACAATTCAAAGCTGTAGCTAAAACTATAAGGTTATTAAAGGACAAAACACTGTTAAAGCAAATAAAAATACGAAAGAAGATTTTAAAGGACTCTGATAAAGATACAGTACTCTTATTTCATTAAAATTAAAAAACCCTGAAGCTAAAAAAAAAAAAAAAAAGAATTCTGGCTTAGTTGATTCATTTTAGCATGGATTTCTAATGCTGCTATAGTTAAGATTATATCAGCATTTCCATTTTAAATGTACAACCAAAAAAATTCATTCCATGATGTCACTTGGCATAAAAAGGCCACATCTCAGGACACATCTACCACCACAAATTTGGTTTGGCTCATTTTAAGCTATAAAACTGGAAATTACAAAAGTGGAAAAAGTGGGAAAAAAATCTTAAGATAGTAGCTTCCAATTTAAAAACAGCTAACATTTAAACTGAACTTGCAGCTAGCTAGCTAGGTTCACCAGTACATTATTCAACTACACTGAACTACTGTGCTGATCAGAAGCAATTAGCTGATTAAAGGGCTAATTGTTTTTTATATTAAAAATTAAGTTATTCCAAACTGACATTGGGATAAGAGGGAAGGTCATTTCATGGACTGACAACGTTAAAAGATAGGAGACGAAGGGTGGGAATAAATGGTCAGTTTTCGGAACGGAGAGAGGTCAATAGTGGTATTTCCCAGGGGTCTGTACTGGGACATATCCTATTAAATATATAATATTCTCTCTATATTATTCTCTATATATATTACATATATATTAGAGATTTGTGCGTTGGTCTGCCTGAGAGTTTGTCTGTCTGCAAGTCTGTTTGTTCAAGAATTCCTCCCAAATGGTAAGAGTTAGGACCACCAAATTTGGTATGTAGTTTCCTCCTTTCCTAACTTAAATCAAGGTCAGGGTTTGGTTGTTCCAGCAAAATGGGATTTGCCTGGAATTCTATTTTTTTCATAACATGGAAAGGGAGGGGCAAAGAAAGGAGGGATGTGATACTAACAATCACCACTGGATGCAGTGAACACAGAGGGGGAGGCCACTCTCCATGGGCACTGGCTCCTGCCTGCCCTTCCCCCCACTCTGCTGCCTCTGGATTTAGAGGCAGCAGTGTGAGTGGGTAAACCACACCTTAGGAGCCGGTGCTCGTGCTTCCCCGGCAGCAGCATGGGGAAGGGAGAAGGCAGGACCGCAGAAGTTACCACCCCCTGTGTGTAAATCTGTAACCACTGACATTTTCAGCAGTTACATGCTTACCCAAATAAACACATTATAACATCCCTAATGTTAACTATAGTGAAGGGAAATTGGGAGGGAAACTTATTTATTTATTTGTAAACTTGGAATGTTACATGATTTTAGTCAAATTGTTTTAGTTAAATTGTCTCAACAACTATGATTCATGAACTCTTCCTCAACTGAAATGTGATAGTGGGTACATGGTCGGGATCTAATATTTGATTTAACCATTTAAACGTTATGGTTAATCAGTTAAATGGGATCCTGCAGGCAGTATTGTTAGTTTTACATATGTAAAGTGATCTCTGGATGTAGTTACACCACCCAGGGAGTGGCCAGTTGCCTGCCACTGGTCCTGGTAAGTGGCCCCTCTAACCCAAACCCTGCTCCCTGGCTGCAGTGTCAGATAGGGAGAGGAGAAATCCCCGCCATTTCCACTGCTGAGGCCCTCCCAGGAGTACTGCCATGATTGGGCAGCACAGCCCGGGCCCTTCCCCCAGGACCCACTGCCCCCCTCCTGCCAACACCACTTGGCCACCCAGTATGGCCACAGTCAACTGGCTTGCATGGACCCCCTTCTTTCCTGCCCTGGAGGCCTGTGTGGCCCCCTGCCCATACGCTGGGCACAAGGAGTGCTGGTGGGAGGCCTGCATTGCTCCCGAACTCTGGGCTGGGCCTGGGAAGTGCCAGCAGGAGGCCTGCATGGGCCACCCCTAGCCTGGGGAGCACTGGCAGAAGGCCTGCGCAGCCACCCGCCCACTCCCAACCCATCCCCGCAACCTTCAGCCCTCTCCCCCTCAGCCCCAGTCCAGGCCCTGCTGCTGGCCTGTGTCCCTCCCCCACCCATAGCCCTGAGAAGGGCCCAGGGAGTGCCAGCAGGAGGCTGGCATACCTGTTATAGTTGCCTGCGTCCGAGCCAGGAACACCTGATATGTCATCTAGTATATTCATAAATGATCTGCAGAAAGGGGTAAATACTGAGGTGGCAAAATTTGCAGATGATACTAAACTACTCAAGATAGTCTACTTTGGGCTTAACTGTGAAGAGCTTCAAAAGGATTTCACAAAACTAGGTGACTGGGCAACAAAATGGCAGATTAATTTTAATGTTGATAAAATAATGCATATTAGAAAACATAATCCCAACTCTACAAATAAAATGATGGGGCTAAATTGGCTGTTACCACTCAAAAGAGAGATCGTGGAGTTACTGTGGATTGTTCTCTGAAAACATCCATTCAATGTGCAGCAGCAGACAAAAAAAACCAAACAGAATGTTAGGAATCATTACGAAAGGAATAGAGAATAAGGGTGCATCTAGACTGGTGGGTTTTTCCCAGTCTAGAGAAACTCCACCACGTCCAGGGAATGCATTTTTTGTTTTTTTTTTTTTTTTTTACAGAAGAGCAAACGTGCTCTTTCAGAGAGCCCTGTATACCTCATTCTATGAGGAATAAGGGCTCCTCTAAAAGAGGAGGCTTTTCCGCCATTTGGCCCCATCTAAATGGGGCCAAATGGCGGAAAAGCCTCTTCTGCAAAAGCTATCGGAAAAAACTACACAAATTGTGGAGTGCAATTTGCGTTGCTTTTTCCGACAAAGGACTCTAGCCAAGACCTAGCCTAAGACAGAGTATATAGCATCGCCTCTATATAAACCCACGCCATGCCCACATCTTGAATACTGTGTGCAGATGTGCTTGCCTCATCTCAAAAAAAGTTCAGAAAATGGCAACAAAAGTGATTAGGAGTATGAAATGGCTGCCACATGAGGAAAGATTAATGAGACGGACTTTTCAGCTGGGAAAAGAGACAACTGGGGATATGACAGAAGTCTATAAAATCAGTTAATTTCTATTAAGTATTTTTGTTAAAGGCAAGTAGTCACACAAGGAATAAACTATTTGCATAAAGATGAACTTGCGACATAGCTGAAAATAAAAAGGAGCAAACCTAATCCAAGTTCCATATTATTTCACCTGAGTGTTCTCCCCTTAGAATCCAGAAGTTCTTTACGCAGGTGTGACACACTCTCCTGTATACCAAGGCAGAATTTGGCCTGCTGTTTTGAAAGCAAATATTAAAAGCCAAGTTCTACAGAGTGCAGTAGGCTGGCAAATGAAAATTACTAGTTTTCAAATATAAATCACTCTTATTCCAGATTCACACTGACCTGTTCTGGGTACTTGCTCCCAACTATTTCTGCCACAGTGTTAAAGGAAACAGAATCAGGATAGGTCTTGGCTCCCATCTTCAGGGTTACAACAATCTTGGTACCTCGGGAAGATATCCGTGCCATCATTTCAGCATCTTCTATTGAAATGCAAGCTGTCGGAATCTTAGGCACATCAGATTGGTATGCCTGCCACCCAGTGTGAGGGCTACAATAATAATAAAAAAAAGATTGTGTTAATGATCTAATTTTGTAGGTTATTTTAACTAGTCTAAAATTATTAACAGAGCATGTTTCATGTATTATTTATTAGCAAATAAAGCTACATTCAATAGCAGTTTAGGTTCCAGAGGGGCACACTTCATTCACCCAAAAGCTTAAGACTAGAAATAAGAAGCTGAAGGGGAAGACTGATGTATGTCATATTACCAACAACACTACTGATGAAGTATCCAGTCCTCCTTAAGGCTTTCACTAACCCCTCCAACAGATATCCAAAAGCTCTACATACTCCAACTTCATCAAACTTGCACTCTAACACAAAACTATAACAGTAACCTCCCATGCTTTTGTAACCATTGTATCAATAGATCAGCACATCTGACTGTCTCACATTCATGCACCTGGGAAGTTATTCAGCCTTAACTACTGTGGCAGAATTCGATTTAAATGATAAATGTTGGTTAACAGCGATTTCAGCTGCCTCACTGAAATCAATGGAAAAGGGCAGATGAGTGCAGCTTTCTCCCTGCACTTCATGCCTGCAGGGGTCACTGGCTCTGTGGCAGAGCAGGAAGCCTTCTGAAAGAGTGAGTGAAAAGGGCTGTGACAATAGAGTGCTCCTTGCACACGGCCGGGGCCAGCAACACCTTACTCCTGAAAGCAAAAGGAACGCGAAGGACGGAGCCGAGACCCCCAGCCAAGACGAGGAGAAGGAGGAGCCCTAGATTGTGGGGAAGGCCATTCCATTGCTGAAGGAATTCCCTACCCAGAGAGGAACTATTCAGCAGTCAGGTGGCCTGGCCCACAGCTGAGGGTTTCTTGTTCTCTTTGCAGCCTGGTTCTGGGGGAGAGGGGTCTCTGCTCTGCCAGGTCAGGGCCACAGACTCCCCCAGACTTTGTGTCCCAGTGTCTGGGGCATCTCAACTATGCAGGGAGCCTCTTGCAGTCCCATGGTCAATGCTGGGAACCCCTGGCCACCAGCAGTCCCCTAACTCAATCTTATCTCCTCCCAATTTCCCACAACTGTCAAAATAAAAAGTTAAATATTTTTTTAAATTAAACATTGATGTTAATCATCAACATTGCAAAGAATTTAAAAAAAATAGTTTTCTGCCAAGCCTACTGTTAACAGAGCCAAGGTCAGTGTGACCCAGGAACCCTTGACGCCAAGTGGCAGAGGGCACATAGGGTTTTGTAAGAGTCCCTGGGGTCAGATGTATTATAACAATGTACTGCAGCGTGTTATGTGAGGTCACTTCCAAGAGCTAGTAGCCCAATGGTTCAGGGGTGGCAAGTTGTAGGACCCAGGATACCCAGGCCCCAGGAATATTCAGGCTCCGTGGGACCCAGCTCCACCAGTGTTCGAGGGAGGGAGCTCCACCAGTGTTGAGGGAGAGCCGAGTCTCTCCCCTAGCCATGTCTGCTGTCCCCTGCATGCCTCTCCCCTAGCTCACGAGCCATCTGTCCCCACAAGCAGCAGCATGGGGGCAGAAAGAGGGAAATGGGAGCCAGTGCTGGCAGGAGAGACATCAGAATGGAAGACAATAATGTACTGTCTTATTTGAGGAGCAGTCATATGACTGATTTCATGGAAAATTAACACACTGAGACCAGGAAACTCTCTCAGAAAATTTCAGAATCCAATCACAATCTGAGTCTCAAGAAAATGAGTGTTTTAATGGAGTCTAGAGAACGAAAACATTTCCACTAAACATAGTGCCCATATCTCATAGCCAGGGCCGGCTTTAGGCCGATTCCACCGATTCCCCCGAATTGGGCCCCGCGCCTAAGAGGGCCTCGCACCCTAAAGCAAGTGGTCACCAACCGGTCGACTGCCGGAATTGGAGCGCGGTGGCTTTGTGAGTCAAGCCCAGGGGTTTCTCTGTGCCGCAGGAGAGGGGGTCGGCCCCAGGGTTTGGCCAGGGGCGGGAAGGCGGGACATGACTCTGCCATGTAGCTGGGGAATTAAAGGGGCTATGACTCTTTTTTTGTGTGTGTGGTGGGGGTTTTTTTTTTTTTGTTCAACAAAAATCTTGGCTGCTGGGGCCCCGTCAAAACTGTTCAAATTGGGCACCACACTTCCTAAAGCCAGCCATGCCCATAGCCTAAGCAGGAGAGAAGAATCACCCCAAGTGTCAGCTCTGAGTGTCTACTATTCAAGAGAGCACTGAGAGGACATAGTTCCCATTATAAGACTATACTAGCTATTTGGGTTGAAATGTTCTGTGCTGAGTGTCTGGCGTAGGGTGAGGTGGGGTATTTTCGGTTTGGTTTGATTCGTTTTTTGTGGAAATTTTCAGTCAAAATGGTTCGGACACTTTCAAGAAAGCTAATGAAGAGAACATAATTTTATCTTTGCCCCTCTGGTAACTGTTTCTTTGAAAATCTCTAGTACCCTCCCTCCACACACACAAGTTGGAGCAGAGTCTTGAACCTTGGCTGCCAATGGCCTGTGTGTTACAGATCTCCATCCTTGTGAAATGCAATCAAATTTGGCCAAATTATAAGCTTTTTAAAAATGGCATGTTCAATACTGTCCTATTACAACTTTACAGCTAATTCCCCCATCCCCCACCCCAGATAAAATGTGCACTGGGCATGCTCCTTTTTAGGGCACAGGCTTTAACTGCAGCTCTGTGCTGCTGGGGCCATCTCCTGGCACCCTATTTGACAAGAGAAAGATTGTCTCTTCTGTGTTCTCAGAGCAGGTCATGGTGATACCAAGGCATCATAGAGGAGGAATGTGCCCAATTCAAATGCAGAGGAGAGAAGAGCTGGCGGGAGGAATAGATTACAACAAGGAGCTTGGCAGATGGGGGGGAAAGGAAAATGGGGACTGGCTGGGCAAGGAGATTAGGACTAGGAGCAAGGAGGCTATGAGGAGATACAGATGTGAAAATGAATCAGAGTGGCTGGGAAGAACTGGGATTATTGGACAAGAAGGCTGGGATTGGGATGAGAAGTCTGAGGAGTAGGGATTGGAAATGGCTAGGTAAGGAGAGTGGGAATGGAACAAGGAGCCAGGCGTGAAATGAGAAAGTGATACTATCCCATATAAGAAACAGGAAATTGAAGCAAAGAGAGATTAAGGTAAAAATATCCACCAATTTTGGATGCTCAATGTGAGGTACCTGAAATCTGATTTTCAGAGTATTTGCCATATTATATAGAATTATGTGACTCTGACAGCAGCCAGTATGGCTGATTGCAGGGCCACTCAAGCAGATGACTCCAGTGCCAGCTGCTCAGGTGGCCTCTGGTACAGCCATACCTGCCAGACCATGGGTTCCCAAACTGGGGGGCGTGCCCCCCTGGGGGAGGCGTGAAGAAATTCCGGTAGGGGCTTGAGGCAACCCAGCCCCCTCTTCCCCAAGTTGTGCTGCTATTTTTGTTTTTTGGCCCCGGTCAGTTCCTTTTTTTTCCTCAAGTTTTGCTGCTATTGGGGACAGGGGGGGTGAGGGTTTCTCAAAAATCAAAAAGGGGGTGTGATGCCAAAAAGTTTGGGAACCACTGTACCAGACAGATAGCCAGACGCTTGGGCACTCCTATAGCCGGATGCACCAGCCCGCTGCTTGTGCAGCTCCGGGCAGCTGGCTCTGGGGACTACCTGAGCAACAGGCCCTTCCACCGCATCCCAAGTGGTGCTCCTGGGATGCTCCCCTCAATTGCAACTGCTACCCCAAGATTTAGTCAGAGTATGTATAGTAAAAGTCACAGGCAGGTCACGGGATGTGAATTTTTGCTTATTGCCCATGACCTGTCCATGACTCTTACTAAAAATACCCATGACTATATCATAGCCTTAATTATATATCACTGTATATCTTCAAAGTAGTTTCTATTCATCTCAGCAGGGATATCCTTAGGATTTATGGGGCCTTATACTGTGTTGTTGAAGTGGTGCCCTAAGCCCAACACAGCCCAGGAGATGGGGAGGGGGGTGAATGACAATTTTTTTAGAAATGTGATTTTATAATCTTCAGCAACATACTAATGAAATATTTTAAAGCAAATTTTAAATTAAGGTCCTGTAGAATAAGGGTATGTCTACACCGTGAAGATTTTAGCAACAAGACTGTGTCAACACAGCCTTGTCGCTAAAAGTCAGCTTGTGTGAAGGCTGTTTTTCAGTACTTTTGCCAACAAAATACTCCCTCTCCCAGTGAGGGGGTTCCTACATCAGAAAGGAACCCTGTAGCAAGGGCAGGGACAGAATCTAGTTACCCAGCATTCTATTGCTTCCCCTTTGATCCCATGCTTTCTGTTCCTGCAACTTCCTACCTCATACACTATACACCATCCAAACTCTGTGACAAATGATGCAGGGGTTCTATGACAACAGCCTCCATCAGTAGGCCATTCTGATTTATTCCCAAAGCACTATCCATCCTGTGCACTGAATGAGTAAGGGGATCTACATAGGGGAAAAATGTCATCATGTAACAAAGACTGTATCACAATGAATATGGACAAGAAGGCTGACGTTGCACAGGCAACCTTAATTCTGATATTCCTTTACTTTTGAGTGAGTGACTGTGTAATCTTAATAATAACTCCTGCGAGTGGGGCTGCTCCGACTGGCCAGCACTGCTGCAGCTGCTCTGGCCAGTGCAGGGCCATTGAGGTCAATGGCCTGCGTGGTGCAGGGTTGTTGAGGCTGGCGGGCCTGGGGTTAATGGCTAAGGTGGGTTAACTTTTTACATGCCAACTAGTGAGATAAGGTTGTAAGGACAGATTTAACTGCTGCTTTCAAACCAGATCAGACATACTAACCATTTTCTGAGCAGTGTTTGGGGGCGTTGTTTGTCTGTTTGTTGCATGTTAAAAATGCCTCACTCTGGACCACTCATTGTCTTGGGGAAATATTAGTACTGTGTTTAGCAATTTAAGCATGCAGCTTGTCAGAGATGAGCAAGTTTACATGAAACTAATTTTACACTTTCACACATTTAATAAGAATTCAGAAGATAAATCCTTGCGTAACTG